TCTCTCTCTCTCACTATCTCTTTCTCGCTCTCTCTCGCACGCACGCACGCGCCTCCTCCGTCTCCGTCTCCGTCTCGTGTAGAATGAATAATAAAGCGCGGCGAACGAAGCTGCCGAGAGCCGCGGATCATTTCCGCGGCCGCTCCGTAACGAAGTCGCATTGTAGCCACCGCATGAGATCCTTATTGATGATATCATTTTTTAATGAACCTCATTGTGGCCCGCTGCGCGCCTGCCTGCACAGGGAGGATGCGTGTGTGTGGTGTAGGCGAGAGGCGGGCTGGGGCAAGGGTGAATATCTGGTTAGGGGATGGCGGCCGCGCGCGCGCCGTAACTGAGTTATTGCGCACGTGGAAAATTGATATCGGTGTGTATTGGGTCTGAATACGCATTAGCCTTCGTGATCGGGTGAGATAGACAGGGGGACATGGTGCTGTGTGTGGTGTTGTGTGTGTGTGTGTGTGTGTGTGTGTCGTGCGTTGGCTGTGCGCTGGCGTGCGTGCGAGCGTGCGTGGGTGTGTGTGTGTGCGTGCGTGTGTGTGTGGCGTGCGTGGCGCACGCGTTTGTGTGTGCGTACGGGTGTGTGTGTGTGTGCGTGTGGTATGTGATGTGCCGCGCGGCACGCATGTGGTGTATGTGTGGTGGTGTGTGTGTGTGTGTCGTGTGGTGTGTGTGCGTGTGTGTGTGTGTGTGTGTGTGTGTGTATGTGTGTGCTGTGTGTGCGCGCGGCGATCGCGTGTGTGTATATGTGTGTGCTGTTGTGTGTGTGTGTGTGTGTGTGTGTGTGAGGTGTGTGTGTGTGTGTGGCGTGTGTGTGTGTGAGTTGTGTTGTGTGTGTGTGTGTGTGTGTGTGTGTGTGTGTGAGGTGTGTGTGTGTGTGTGTGTGTGTGTGTGTGTGTGTGTGTGTGTGTGTGTGTGTGTGTGTGTGTGTGTGTGTGTGTGTGTGTGTGTGTGTGTGTGTGCGTGCGTGCGTGCGTGTGTGTGCCTCGATCCCCGATCATTCACGCGCTATAATCTGGGTTTCTCTTTCTCTCGTTCAAACAGGAATACGAGAGGCTGCGGGAAGGCCTCCTCTTCCTCTCCGGCAGCCTGCTGCTGTTGCTCGTCGGCCGTCTCCTCTTCATGGGCCTCGACCCGCCCGAGTTCGCACCCAGCGACAACCCCGCGAGCGCGTCCGACTCTCTCCTCACGCGCACACTCACCTTCCTCTATCTACCAGCTCTCAACGCCTGGCTGCTGCTCAACCCGGCCACGCTCAGCTTCGACTGGTCGATGGACGCCGTCCCGCTGGTGGCGACCCCTGCCGACGCGCGCGTCGCCCTCACGGCGCTGTTTTACGCGTATCTTGCTGCGGCGGCTGTGTACGTGGCGCGCAATTACGCTCGCGAGGGGGCGCCGCCGGCGGCGGGGCGCGCGAGGGGCGGTCGGAGTCCGGACGGGCACCGTAAGGGAGTCGGGAACGGAGTCGCCGCGCACGCCAACGGGGGCGGCGCTGTCGCGAACGGTGGGACGACCAGCAACGGTGCTGCCACCACCGCCGCCGAGAAACAGAAGAGCATTGCTGCCGGAGGAGGACTGGTGCGGAGACTCGCGCGGAGGTTTGCACGCCACGCGGCCGCGGAGCCGCTGCCACCGCCGCTGGCCGTCGGTCACTCGTGCGGACGCTCGGACCGCCGGCCGGACGACGACCGCCAGGCGGCGCCACGGCCGCGGGCGGACAGCGTCGACGTCGTCGTCGTGGCGATGTCGCTCATCATCTTCCCGTTCCTGCTCGCGACGAACCTGTTCTTCTACGTCGGCTTTGTGATCGCCGAGCGCGTGCTCTACATTCCCAGCATGGGCTTCTGTCTGCTCGTCGCTCACGGTAAGCGCCCCCTACCGGCTCATATCACATGGCCAGCCCCCCCTACCTACTCAAAATTTGAATTGAAAAATGCTAAATGAAACGACGTTAATAGGGGGAGGGGTTGGCGTATATATGCAGTGATTAATTGGTGTGTGAAAAAATTTCGAGATGATTGCGAGAGATCCAAACTCGCCAGGGAGTTTACAAAATGACACGCCTTATATTAACAGGAGTGTATAATATAGAATCTATTATTATATAACTATATAACTAGATAATCTTATATTACTTATATAATCAATATTATACACCTGATATTATTTCGCATGCGCACTAGTCGCGCTTCCCGGTCTTTGCCGACGACAAGGACGACGACAACGACGTAGTTCTTAATTTGGCTGAACTTCCCGCTGTTCACTCACGCGCTCTGTTTCCTCTCCCCGCCACCAGGGCTGCAGTGCCTGCGCGAGACGGCGCTTGAGATGCGGCTCGGTAGATGGCAGCACTGGCTGCGCTCTGCACTGCTCGCGGCGCTGATCGGCTGCTACAGCGTGCGCACGTACACGCGCAACGAGGACTGGCGGACGGAGGAGGCACTCTACAGGTCGGGCCTGAGCGTGAACCCGGCCAAATGTAAGTGCACGATGACGTTTATATAAAGGGAGGACGAGAGGGAGGGAGGAAGAGGGAGGATAGGAGAGAGAGAGAGAGAGAGAGAGAGGAGGAGGAGAGAGGAGAGAGAGAGAGAGAGAGAGAGAGAGAGAGAGAGAGAGAGAGAGAGAGAGAGAGAGAGAGAGAGGAGAGAGAGAG